CCCCCCCCGTCCTCCTCGCTCTTCTCAGCATCCACATCTTTCTAAAACCAAACCCAACCCCAGATGCTGCCAATTGTGCAGAATCGAGCTCGGATCTTTGGATTTCGCTGCTTTTGTTGCCCGTACATAAAGGTGCTCGCTCCGGTTGCTAATGAGAGTGCCCTGCTTCCATTTCTTTTCTTGCACCCTGCTTTCCCCACACTGGAATCTGGGGTTTTTTAATGTGAAAAGGTAATTTATTGCATACGCCCTGGGACTTGCCACTGCCTCCAGTTTGCTGAAGCTGGATCCCAGGAAATCCAATTAGCTCAAACAAATTGAGCAAACGTGTTATGGTTTTTAGCCTGGGCAAATTTAGACTTGTGTTGTGGGTTTTTTTTTTTTCCTCCTGATTATTTGGATTCCTGGCTGGATCCTTTCAGCAGCGATGCGATGCTGTATGTTGTTATTGGAAGCAGTGGGATGTCCTTGTATTCACAAGTGGGGAATAATCCCTAAAAGCCCTACAATCTATCGTGTACCCGAAAAGCCAAGTAGCACATCCCCTACCGTGTGTCTGAGCGTTGGCAGGGGCTCCCACATCAGCCCGGTGTGACAAGGGAAGGACAAAAATGTGCCTGTGCCTGTTGATAGCAGAGGGTAAATGTGGCCATTGCAGTAAAACAGTAGTGAACTGCGCAAAAAGTAACCGAGGAGCATATTTTAAAGGCAAACATAGAGAAGAAGGCATGAGAAAACTCGGTCTTTACTTAAGTGTTTGAGTCTCCTGCATGTACATCAGTAAAGCTCCATTGACTCTGAAGTGGGAGCCGTGTATTTAGAGAGAGAGGCAGTCCCTGATGCTGCCAGTGCTTGGAATGAAGCACGGGCCTGAGGATTTACAAGGCAGGATTATGATTTACTACAGGCTGGCCTGCAGTAGATGATGGCAGGATAGATTTGCTCTTTCCTTCCCAAATGGGATGCCCGAGGAGGCAACAGAAACCTGGCAGGAGGGAGGAGAGAAGGGGACATCTCGGGGCGGCTGGGCACCCCTGTTGGATTTTTGACCTTGTGTTTGTTTCCATTGCTGCATCCCGCCCTTCGCCCAGTGCCCACGGAGCTCATCGGCCAGGAGGTGAGGTAAGGATCCTGCTCCTCCTCGGTGGTGGGAGGGAGGGGAGGCCCCGTGCTGGGACTGGCTTGGGCGAAGCCCTGCAGCTCCTTGCAGGCTGGGGAACCTGGGTGAGGGGGGCAAACCCCTGGGACTAATGGGGTGGGGGTCTTGCTGGGGGGGCTTATATTGGTGGGCACCTTGCTTGGTCCAAGTCCTCAGGGCATCGCTTGACAACACACATCAGAGGAACCACAGGAGTTAAAGGGATGAAAAGACAAGCTCTGGATGGATCCCATTAGACTGAAGACCCTGCAGCCATCCGCTGTCCCACCCTAGATCTATCTAAACCCCAGCAAAACGTAACGCCCATGCCTTGCGTTGCTGGATCATTAGGGACAGCATCCTACTAGCCAGAGTTTCTTTTCCATGTATTTTGCATCCTCTAATTGCCCCCAAACAATGTTGTGTCACATCACTTCTCACATCACACGCTCCTCCTTTGGCCCTACGTCCCCTGTTGAGTCACCGAGATCCTGTTGTCACTCATTTAGCAGCGCTGGCATGCCAACAGCAGCAGCCAAAAGAGCCGGAGCAAGCCTCTGCAGCCCTACAGAGCTTCTCATTATAAATAACAGCCTCCCCCATCTCTAAGCTCCCTTTAAACCTCGCACAAGGGCTTACGCAAGAGGTAGGAGTCTTTAACCTGGACAGGCGCTAATGGCAGGGGCTGCCTCTCCGTTAGAAAGCTGCATGTGTCAAAGAGTAATTGGACCTTAACCAACCCAATTTCAGAGCATTTCTGCTCCTCCACTCTCCTATTACTCTGGAGAGATAGGAGGAGCGAGCGGTGGGCATGCCACTTCTCCAACTTTTATTGCTGAACACTTGAGTGGAGGTGGTAATTGGAGCAGGTGACATATATAAGGGGCAGGACAGAATGCTCCACAAAGCCATTTCTGCAGCTGTCACCTAATTGCCTGATTAACTGGACGATTAATCGACTAATTGGAAGCAGGGCATCGTCTGCATAACAATAAGAGGCCCTTTTGTCAAGCCCATGAAGGCGATGGAGAGGGGGGGAGAGCAGGTCGGTGTGGGGAAGGAGAGCAGGTCGGTGTGGGGAAGGAGAGCCGCTCTAATAGACCTCGAAGCCCCTTTCCCCTTTTGGGACCCCTGCCAAAATACAGGAAACCTCCCTGGTGGACAGCGGGAACCAGAAAGCCTGGCCCAGAGCGTGCTGAGCATCACCTCTGCGCCGGTGCTTTTTAAAAGGGTTAAATTAACACACGGAAGCCAGAGACGTCCCAAACCGCCACCTGCTTCGGAAAACCTCGATGCTGAGCCACTTGGCTCTTCCCTGCTTATTTTTTACTGTAAGCTTCGTTTCACCACATCAAAAATGGGGGGTGCGTGGGGGATCAGCTTTAATTGATGCAGGAAAGCTTACAAAAGCCTGTAGCATCTTCATCAGAGCTGCTCTTGTTTCCCACTGAATGAGGCCTTTTTCAGGCGAGTCACTGGTAACATAAACACCGCTCTGTCTTTTGGGCGTGCAGTCGCTTAAAGCGTGTCTGGGGCTGCTCAGGACAGAGCAGCCTCAGTCATGGCAGAGGGCAATTAAAATTAAATAGACTTTCAGGTCATCAGCAGAGGGAGCAGCAAAGGGGGGAGCTTCCCCCTGCCAATTCCGGACGATAGCGGGACGAGATCTTTTTAAGTACAGCCGTGAGCATTTTGCTCGGGGAGGGACGCCCCGCTGGCAGGTGAGACCCCCAGGCACAGCGGGGCTGGAGCTGTGCCCGTGCTGGAAAAGCTGGGAGCCGTCCCCCGAGCGATGGCGCGGGAGGATGCTCGGCATCTCGGGTAAAATTGGGCCACGAGCAAAAGGGACAGCGGGAAGGGGGGACTTCATCTTGGAGGGGGCAGGAGGTGCAGCTTGCACCCGTGGCCACGCATCCTAGAAAGCCGTGTCCCCTTAGGGGACGTGCTGCTGTCGTTTGCCCTCTTCGCGTTAGCTTTGTGAAGCTCCAGCAAGCCGGACTCCCCAAAGGAAGGATTCCTACTCCTCTGACGGTTCAGTAGCCCTTTCCTGCCTGGGTTTTGGGTTGAATTATATTCTCTGAACACAGCGATCTGACTTGGGCAGGGTGTTCCAGGGCATTGAGCCATTAATAACCCGCCAGTGCACCCGAGCTGCTGCATCCATTAGCGCACGCAGCTCCTCCTTAGCCTTAGCTTCCTGCAAGGGCTGCGCTTTCTGCTGAGAGCAGAAATTCTGAGTCCCGAAAGCCTGACTTGGCACTTGGTACTTATTTAATGTTGTCCCATGTCTTTTAGTCCAAGAATAACAGGCTGGCCAGATCCCCTCTGGGCTGGCGATGCCTTCTCCCTTTGCACTGTCATCAAGAGATTTCATTAGTGCTTCCAACTTCCCGGGCCGAGGGTGATACGGTGCTAAATGAGGTTATTAATCCTACATGACTCCAGAATTCCTCAGACATCAGGCGAGTCACTTGGGCATCCTCTAATCAATGCCATAATCTGGTTTTGCCAGAAAATGTTTGCTTTAATGCTGCTTATCTGGAGCCCTTACAGCTCCTGGAGCTGGGGCTAATTACCCCTGCAGGGGAGGCGTGCGGCCCCGCGCCGAGGGATGCAGCG